TATAGGCACAGTATAGGCTATTCCTTGGAAAGGGTCATCATGCTTGAAAAGGAAAAGGGTTGGCAAAAGAGAAGAAGATCTTCAACCAGAAGAATTGACACAGTGACTGCAGCAATGGAATCTATCTAGTATGTCAGAGATTGTGAGGGTAGCACAGGATAGGACAGGGTTCAGATCTGTTTTCATAGGTTTGCTATGAGTTGTACTTGACTTAAAGGTACCTAACAACAATAACCACCACCACCATACCTAATAAAACAAACCCACTGCAATGAACTGTTTAAGTCTAACAGAGACTTCACAGGTCAGAGTAGAAGTATTCCTTTATAATGAAGACTATAAATAAAGATTTCTAGTCTTAAAGACATGAGGAGACTGCTGAAGTGACTAACATTTGTTTGCTCAATGGTACAATGGAGGAACGATATTATTCCAATGGCTGGGGGAGACAAGCACAACTATAAAGTGAGTAAGGGACTGTTCCTAAAGAAAGTATGTTGTTGTTACTGTTAATTACTTTCAAGTCAACTCCAGCTTGTAGAAATGCCATTTGTATGGAATCAAACTGGTCCATAGGTTCCTAGAAATTTTTGGAAACATCACCACGCCTGTCTGTCCAGGTATCTCTGAGTGTGTCTGAACTGCAAATCTTTCAGCTAGTTGTTGTTGTTAGGTGCCATTGAGTTAAGTACAACTTACAGCAACCCTATAAACAGCCACCATGAATCCCATCCTATCCTGTGCCATCCTCACCATCTCTGAGACACTAGAGCCCATTGCTAAAGTCACAGCATCTATCCATCTTGTTGGAGGTCTTCCCATCCTTCGCTGACCTTCCATTTTCCCAAGAATAAAGTCCTTTTCCAAGGAATAGCTTCACCTAGCTGCATGTCCAAAGTAGGAGAGAGGATGCTTTGTCATCCTTGCTTCCAAGGAGCTCTCTGGCTGTACATTTTCCAAGATGCATCTGTTTGTTCTTTTGACACTCCGTGGGATATTCAGCATTTTTCTCCATAACCACAACCCAAAGGCATCAATTCTTCTGTCATCGTTAATTATTGTCCAGCTCTCTGAGGTATAGCAGGTGATTGAGAAGACCATGGCCTGAATCAGAAACACCTTAGTCTTCAAACTGACATCATTGCTCTTCAGTATTTTGGAGAGGTCCCTGACAGAAGACTTACCCAATGCAATATATTTCCTGTTCTCCTGACTGCAAGTACCAAAGGTGTTGATAATTGTTTCAAGCAAGATTAAATAATTGACAGCTATCTTTTCTCTATCTATCATAATGTTGACTGTGGTGAGGATCTTTGTCTTGGTGTTGAGATGTAATCCATTCTGAAGGCTGTAGTTCTTGATATTCTGCAGTAAACCTTTCATAGCCTCCTCACTTTCAGCAAGCAAAGTTGTGTCATCTTCATAACACAAGTTTTTTATGAGTCTTCCTACAATCCTGATGTCATGTTCTTCTTCATAGAGTCTGGCTTTGTGAATTATTTGCTCAGCATACAGATTGAATAGATATGGAGAAGGATAAACCCTGACACACAGCCTTCGTGATTTTAAACCATGAAGCATTCTCATTAGTTCTTTGGCCTATATATAGATTCTGTATGAGCACAGCTGAGTGTTCTGGTATTCTCATTCTTCCCAATGCTAGCCATAATCTGTTAGGATCCATTCAGTCAAATGCCTTTGTGTTGCCAATAAAATAAAATAGACATTCTTCCCATCAACAAATGAATGGATAGAGAAGCTGCGGTATATTCACACAATGGAATACTATGCTGCATTGAAAAACAAGGAACTCATGCAATATTATTCAAAATGGGTGACTCTGGAGGACATTATGCTGAGTGAAGTAACTCAGTCACAAAAGGACAAATACTGCATGGTGCCACTGTTGTAAAACAGGACTGACCTTGGGGTTGGGGAGAGACTGAGAAAGATGGGTTCAATAATGTATATTGCATTGAAACAGATGAGGGAGAAAACTGTTTAAAAGGGATATGTGATTAGGTATTTTTGTCCTGACAGGAGTCTAGAGTGAAGGCTACATGGTGGAGTGGACCTGGGGGAGGGTTTGTAAAACAATGAAAGAATTTTTCTTTTACTTTTCCAAGAGGGTAGTGTACTAAGGGGGAGGGTTGGGAGGGGAGAAAAGTGCAACAATGAATGAATGGAAATCCAAAGTCTCTGTAAATTTTTAATGAATTTAATAATACATTTAAAAAAAATAGACATTCTCCTGGTATTCTTTGCTTTCAGCCAGGATCCATCTGACATCAGTAATGATATCCCTGGTGTTGTAACTTCTTCTAAAACATCTAGAAGTGGAATGCTATCTGTACTTTTAAGGAACTCTAGCAAAGAAATTACTGCTCTTAAGAGTTGGTGCAACAGTTACATAATAGAAAATATTAGCCTTAAGTATGCTATCTATGGAATTGCCATTTTTCATTCTAGAAATATTTCTTCTGAATAGCCTATACCAGTCTTTGGAATAAAATCACTATCTACTAAGTATTGCCCCTATCTCAAGAGGTTGCTTGTCTTTTGTTTTATTTTTTAAATACAAAAGTCATTCTGTTACAACAAATCCTTTACAACCTCTTAGCAGAGTTAAAATTTATAAGCCTAGAAAGACTTGAGAAAGGATTGATATAAGCAGTTCCCAGTTCTTCAGTATACCATATGAGCCATGTTTCCTCCTGTCGTGTAGTCCCTTTCTGTTCTTTCCTCCCTCTGCTTGTGCACTTATTGGCAAAAGGTGCCAACTTTATGTATGTATGTATGTATGTATGTATGTATGTATGTATGTATGTATGTATTTTTAACCAGAGGAGAACAGAAGAGTTCATCTCCTCACAGTCTTCCCCTGTTAGAAGCAAGGACATTTCTGGGATCCTCAAACTTAGGGCTGGCATTTACCTTTTTGATAACTTGATGGACAGTGATAGCTGAACTAGCTTTCTGTGACTGTATCAGAGATGTTGCATGCTGCAGCTAGATTTAGAGAAGTAAAGGGGAGTTGATTTATGTTGATTTTGGTTAGTAGCTTGACATTATTCTCATTTTAACTTTATGATGACAAATATCAAGAAAACTCTCATCACAGCACTAAAAAACCTTATTTCAGCTCCATAGTCCATACATTCTCCCATTTTCTTAGTCTTTTAACCTTTTAAACTTCCAACATCACTCACATCTTTGACTGATTAGCTCTTTCATCTCTCTTACAAAATAGAAGCAAAGGAAGGAAGGACTCTAACATTTCAGTACACAGTATCAATTAGGATATTTCGATAAGCAGATGTGCTCATTTCTACACACCAAGAAATTTGGAAAAGAACTACCTGCCCAATTGAATGAAAGGGATTAATATTTGTGCCCATTCCAGAGGAAAAAAATGACAAACAGAATGCAGAAATTATAAAATATCATTAGTTATAGAATGACATCATTAATATCACACAAAAGTAAAATCATGAACAAGGAAATTGTCAGAAATTTAACCTAGTTTCAGAAGAGAACATGGAGAAAAAGATATCATTGCTAATATCAGATGAATCTTGGCTGAAACCAGAAAATAACTGAAAAACATTTACCTATGTTTTATTGACCATGCAAAAGGTATTTGATCATAACAAATTATGTATAACATGACAAAGAATGAGAATTCCAGAACACTTAATTGTATTCCTGAGGAACTTACATATAGACCAAGAAGCAGTGTAACAGAACAAAGGGAGATTTCAAGGTTTCAAATCAGGAAAGGTATGTATTAGGGTTGTATTATTTTTACCATGTATCTTTATAATCTTGTTTTTGAGCAGATAATCCAAGAAGTTGGACTATATGAAGAAGAATGTGGCATCAAGATTGAAGGGAGATTCATTAACAACTGGCATTATATGGATGATACAATATGTTTTTAAAAAAAGAGTACTGAAACACTTTACTGATGAAGACTTGAGTGTGGAATATATACCCCAACATAAAGAAAACAAAAAATTCTCACAATTGGACCAATTGGCAATATTATCATAAATGAGAAAACATTGACATTGTCAAGATTTTATTTTGCTTAGATATACAACCAACTCTCATGGAAGCAGCAGTCAAGAAATCAAGCAAGGTATTGGATAATCTTCCACCAGTGTCTTCTTTAAAGTGCTAAAGACATCACATTGAGGACTAAGATACACCTGAATCAAACCATGGCATTTTCAATGCCTCCTAAGCATGTGAAAGTTGGTCAATGACTAGGGCAGGCTGAAGAACTGATGCTTTTACATTGAGATTTTGGCAAAGAATATTGAATATATCAAGAATTAACAAATCTGTCTTGGAAGAAGTGCAGCTTATTAAAAGAGAGGATAATGAGACTTGCTTCACATACTTAAAAAACAGGGTATTGAGAAAAAGGAGGATGCTTGGAGCGCTGGTGGCCTAGCGGCAAGAAGCTGCACTGCAATCCCAGAGGTGCACAGTTTGAATCCACCAGATCCTCTGAGAAAGAAGAAGGGGCTATCTCCTCCCATACCAGTCAGATCCGATTTGATGGTACATACACACAAAAATAAAAAATAAAAAAAGAAAGAGGATCCTCAGTGAGATGGATTGACACAGTAAAACCTCCCGGCCCTCAAGTTATTCCAGTTCATGACAACTTTTCCCCAGGTTTTGAGGTTGTTTATCTTTATGGGGAAACACTGTTTATCTTCCTCTCTTGAGAAGTTGGTGAATTTAAACTGCTGACCTTTTGGTTGAAGACCAACACATAACGTACTATATAACCAGGGTTAATACAAGGCCATATGATATTTGTGACTTACTTCACTCAACACAATGGCTTCCAACTTTATCCGTACTGTAGCATGTATCAAAATTTCATTTCTGCTACTGGCAGAGTAGTATTCCATTGTATGTGGGTACAATATTCTGTTTATCCATTCCTCTTTTGATGGGAATTTAGGTTATTTCCACCTTCGACTATGTCGTGAGTAGTGCTTCAGTGAACACCTGTGTACAAGTCTCTTTTTGAGTCTCTGCTTTCAAATCTTCTTCGTATATACCTAGGAGAACAATTGCTGGGTCATATGGTAGTTCTAGCTTTTGTTTTTTGAGGAACTGCTACCCTATTTTCCACAACCGCTATATTGTTTTGCAATCCCATCAGTCTAGGTTTTTGAGAAATACTTTTTTTTTTAAAAAAAAATTTCTTTCATCCTCAGTGTGAGTCCAGGGCAACTACATGGCTGAAGTTCAAAGTCCCGTCTCTCAACTTCTTCATACCTTAGAGAAATTCGAAGATACGGCAAGCAGCAAACTGAGAAAAACAAAAATTGGGAAAAGCAGAAGTTGAAGCTCTCCAAAAACCACACTTTCACCCACATGATGCCCTTTTTGGGGCTCTTTAACAAACAGCACAAGTATCACATTGAGCAATCTAGCTGGTGTCCAAAAATAGTGGGCTGGGGAATCATTGTCTGAGCATCTTGGCTCTCAGACACATACCCCTGAGACTTCCCAAAGGGCCTTTTGGCCTCACGTACTGGCTATAATGAAACCTCACCTTGCGCTTCTCATAATGAAGATTAAGCAGTGGTGAAGAAGTCCAGATGTCCAAAACTCAGCCGCCAAAGGCAGAATTTCCATCTCATGTTGTTTTTGTTAAAAATAAATTGACTAGGTTGAGCTGTGGTTTTTCAATAGAAGTTGATGAGGGGAGAGGGTAGTCCGTGAAAATACCTGAATGAAATCCCCTAAGTTGTTTTTTAATTTCACAAATTCTGAATCCCCAGGAATAGAGAAAAAAAGAAATGCTAACCTAATTGTAAGAAAAGTAATTTCCCTTCCTTTAAAAGAAGAAAGGTAAACAGAAAATATAGCTTTCTGAGAAATAAGACACTTTCTAGTACAGGACAAATCATACCTACCACCTCCCCTCCCCAATATAAAAGATCCTTAAAGTTATTAAGTTATCTAGATCTCAATTTCAGTTTTGTTTCCCTTCAGGAGCTTATAATGAAATGTGAATGATGTCTTAATTTTATTGATCATCATTGTGTTGCTATGAGCTTTCATGCAAGTCACACAATCTATTCATTTTGCTAAAACATGAAGAACAACCTCACTGCCTCTCCTTTGTTCACAATGTTCTGTCAGAGAGGCTGTGGGCTGTGAGATTTTATGAAGCACATTCCACATATTCCTGAAACAGGGCCTTTGTGGTCACACACATCAGCTAAATAAATCCTTAAAACAACTTTGTGAGGAAAGAATTCTTTCCCAACGTTATGAATTTAGTAAGTGAAAGAGGCAGATCTAAGGCCCAAGTCTCTGTAGAAGGTCTATTTTTTTCAAGATTTCAACAAAACTGCAAACTCCTTGAAGATAAAAATGATAAATGACAGCATTGTTTAGCCTTATGTTTTCTCATCATCTATCAATAAATAACAATTAAATAAATTAAATCAGCTTTCAAAGATCATCTTCACATATTAATCATAAGAATACTTCATGAATTACTGCCAATGGATTAATACAAAACAACTGCAATAGAGCATGTTGGAGCACATCCCCCCCCCCTTTTTCTCCATCAACTTTATTTCCAAGTTGTGTTTGTGTGTTTCCCCTACATTGAATAAACCTTATAAAATGAAGTAAATCAATTATTCTGCCTCAGAAACTGATAAGAAAAATTGACTCCATAACCCACATTTTATCCCATGCTGTGAAGAAAAACAATCTGGTTAAGAATGTGACCAGTGGAGATTCTTGACGAAACAAAGACCTACAAGGAAGTACTTCTCCACATTTCAATTAAGTTTTAGATCATATTACTTGGTAGAAAATTATCTACATGTTTTTATATGGTGAGAAGGTTTATCTTCCTTAAGCCATGTATTGAGTTTGTCTGATATTTGCTGCCAAATTAAATTCTAAATGATACAGTCATTTAGGAACACAATTCTCTGTAGCTCTGATGAAGATTTCTAAACTGATACTAGCAAGCCAATTAAGATCTCTAGGGCTGATTTACCCAGTATGACTGTATTCTATAGGCTTTGGGATAAGGCCAAAGGAGGTTCAAATCTCAGCCCTACCTTTTGTATTTTCTGGGCAGTGTTGACTTGTTAGAGAATGTATTTGTGAATTAAGGATTCACATCATCGGAAGCTTTTATTCCAGATGATGAGCAGAAGGAAGGCTCTTGACTGAGGAATTATTAGGCTTTTAAAAATCTTTTCATCCAAAATCTTTTTTGTGTGTGTGGTTGAGGGAGATGTCATCTAAAACCAAGAATCACTAATGGGCCAGAATTTTAAAAAAAAATTCTGGCAGGACCAAAGGAACAGATTTTGAAAGAGCAAATAGGAAAGGAGCAAATGCTTTGCTTTTCATAACTATTCATCACCTGCCTGTGAGTCAGCCTATGTCTAAGGCACAATAGAATCTTATCCTGTAATCCCTAGGGTTTTCTGAAATAGGTCACCAAACTTTTCTTCCTAGCCTGTTTCAGTCTGAAAGCTCTGCCAAAACCTGTCTAGCGTCATAACAACATGCAAGCCTCCACTGACAGGTAAGTAACAGATAGTAGTTGGCTGAGCTTGAGGTGCATTGACTAAGAATCAAAGTTGAATTTTTCCCATCAAAGGTGAGCATTCTACCACTGAACCTCCACTGCCCCCTTCATGTGGAGTACTACAATTTTGGTGATGGAGTGTCTCACATCGCATGGGATTTTCCCTTTTAAAAATTTAGAAATGCCCCCACCATCTGAGAATTAATCTTAGCCTCTGAGAGAGAGAGAGAAACTTTGGAAAACTAGAAGAAAAAAACTATAAAGGTACAGTTCAAACATGAGGATACAAGTTGAAGGGGATTGTATTTCAGACCTACTATTGGAATATGGACACTGCAGAGGAATTTGGAGACTCTCTGTGGTCCTTCCACTTAACTATCCAATGGAGTATTAAAAGGGACTGCCATTTGTTGCCTTGAGGATGTTCTTCAAAGTAACAATTTAGACTTAGAGAAAAAAATGTCTAAAGAAGGAGCAAATATCCTTGAATGAAACCAAGGGGGTTTCCTTGTAGAAGAAAGAGGATGTATCAAAAAGGAGTTTGTTGTTTTTGTTAGGTGCCATCAAGTTGACTATGACATAGACATATCCTGCACCATCTTCACAACTTATATTTTTGAGTCCAGGAAAGAGAGCATGGTTTGGAATTGAGTGTGGTTAACAGCAGTTCTGTAAATTTAGTTCTTTGAAGATTTCATTTTTAGGTACCATTGTTGTTAAGCGCCGTCGAGTCAACTATAACTTGTAGTGACACAATGAACAAAGGATCTGAGCACTGCCTTATCTTATGCCATCCTGACCATCTCTGACATCCTTGAGACCCATGTTAGAGTCACTGTGTCAATCCATCTCACTGAAGATCTTCCCTTCCTTTGCACACCCTCTATCTTTCAAAGCATGATGTTGTTGTCCAAGAGCTGACCCTTCCTAACAACATGCACAAAGTATGTGAGACAAAGCTTCATTATCATTGCCTCCAAGCATAGGAAGTACAATCAGCCTATGAATATATATGACTTCTTTGACATGTATTATTCTCTTTGACTTCCCCAGCATTTTAGTAATGTCTGATATACCTTTATAACTGGTGGGGTTACATCTTAGGGGAAAATTTAAAATAGTATTATAAAGGGACTAAGGTATTGGTAAAGTAAGGTTAAATCCAATTCCTTCTAGAGGATCTTTGGGTTGAAATAGTGTGACACCAAATACTATCAATCTTCGCCTGGGGACTTGCAGTTGAACAAAGAGCAATGTGCAACTTGTAGAATCAGAGACCAAGTACTCAACTCAAGAGCATACAAGAAGTTTTTGTTTTCATCATCAGCTTCCCTAAAATATGCTAAAATCGATAAGTAAAGTGCAAGATGGAGAAAGGCTTGAAGCTGTCAATGATCCAATCTTTCTTGGATCTACTATCCTTGGTACCAGAAAATCAGGAGACAGATTGCTTTAGGCAGGTCCATGGTTAGGGACCTCTTTAAAGTAATTAAGAGCAAAGATGCCAGCTTGAAGACTAAGGTACACTTGATTCAGGCCATGGTCTTTTTAATGACATGCTACATATATAAGAGACGGACAAGAGATGAGTATAACAAAATAATCAAGTCCTTCGAGTTGTGGTTCTGAGAAGGAATACTGTCTTATGGACTACCAAAGATGTTGTTGTTGTTGTTGTTATGTGCCATCAGGTCGCTTGCCACTCATAGCGACCCTATGTACACCATACCTAAACTCTGCTCTGTCCTGTGCCAATCGCACTGTCTCCGACACTCCCATCCCAATTATCCCAGTCACTGAATCAATCCACCTCATAGAGGGCCTTCCCCTCCTGTACTGTCCCTCCACCCTCCCAAGCATGATGTCCTTCTCCAAGGACCGGTCTCTCCTCACAACATGTCTAAAGTGTGTTAGATGGAGCCTCAGAATCCTTGCCTTCAAGGAGCCAACCGATTTAACCCTTTCCAGGATGAATCTGTTTGTTTTTCTAGCAGTCCATGGTATTCTCAATACTCTTCTCCAGCACCACAGCTCAAAGGCATCAATTCTCCTTCTATCCTCCCTGGTCATTGTCCAACTCTCTGATGCATAACAAGTGATTGCGAAGACCATGGCCTGTATCAAACGCACCTTAGTCTCCAGAGAGACACCATTGCTCTTCAGTACTTTGGAGAGGTCTCTAACAGCAGACTTTCCCATAGCAATGCGCCTTTTAATTTCCTGGCTGCTGGTGCCAAGAGTGTTGACTGTGGAGCCAAGCAAACTAAAGCTGTGTACAATCTCAATCTCTTCACCATCCATCCTGATGTTGCCAATTGGTCCAGTGGTGAGAATCTTTGTCTTCTTGACATTGAGCCTCAATCCATATTGTAGGCTGCAGTCCTTGACCCTCTGCAGCAGGTGCTTCAGAT